TCCCTGTGCTCCCAGGGGGTTTGCCTGTTCCCAACAGCATCAATCAAACCTCTTGTCTCCAGTGAGGTGGGGTCGGGGAGGGAGGGGAGGATGCTTCTACCTTGGTTTTATTCCTCTCCTTATAACAGCATCTCATCATTCTTGTCTAATGCACAGCTGTTACCTTTTCTCTGAATCTGGACACTTCCCCAGCCTGGACTGTCTTTCAATAAATCTCTTCATTTTACTTTCACCAAGTGTGACCTTTCATTCATGGACACCTTACAGAGCTGCCATTCTCTCCATCACCCGGGGGCTGGTCAGCATGAGTCGGAATCCACTTGGTGGCAACATTTGCGCTCACCTCTCTGTCTCCAGAGAGAGCGAGTGGGCAGAAGAAAGTAAATGGAAGCAAAGGCTGGGTGTGTGGGCAAGCATGCGCTAACAGAGAAGCAGAAAGAGGGTCTGAGCTTGAAGGAGAACACAGCTTGTAGAGGTAGATACAAAAAACCAAACTCACTGCCAAAGAGCTCATTCCTATTCCTAGTGACTATAGGACTGACTAGAATGTCCTCTGTGTGTTGTCAACACTGTCCCTGTTTTGGGGAGTAGAAAGCCTCATCTTTCTCCCGCAGAGGGGTTAATGGTTTCGAATGTCATCAGGGCTCTGTAGAGGGCGACAAAGACCTGAAGCAGATGGCAGGGAAAGATGTAGAAGGACTGCTTTAGTCAGGAGAGGTATTTGTAGAGAGGCTTTGATCACACTCACATGGCCTTGGGTCTGCCACTCGTGGATGACACGTTCTTTGCATCCACCAAGGAAGGAACCAGTCTCTTTGCTGTCTCAGGCATCACAAAGAGGAAGCATTGTGTTTGCTTGACGTTGAAGGCTTTCGTGGCTGCAAGACTCTGGATCACCTCATTCAGGCTGGACTGTGAACCTAGACGGGAGGACATGGGGAGATGTCAGCTTCCCACATTCCAGCAAGAAGCTCTCAGAGGAGTAGGAAGTGTCTGGGGTGTAGCTTCAGAAAACCTTGCTTCTTGGGTTGATGCTGCTGCTGTGTGGCCTCTATATCTCACATTAAGTATTATGCGGTTTCCCCTGTTGTACATAACTGACAACAGTCATGTCATTCATGGGAATACTAAGACCTCGGCCAAGTTTTTCAGTCTACGTTACCACGCAGTTTTGGTAATTGAAAGAGGAGAGCTATGAAAATCATAGTCAACATCCATGAGCAGTGACTGTGTTTTTAGAAAGGCGAACAGTACCAGACACAGCCTATAATTTGCCCAGAGCTCAAGGTACTCATTTCCTAGGATGGTCGGAGGCACTGAGGCTCACTCTGGTTAGGTGACTTGCTTCCACCAGGGGGACAATCATAATGTTGATTCTGCAAGAGGCTTTAAAGGGTTTGCACATTGCAGCCCGCCTTCTCTTTTCTGCTCCTGGTTATCCTGGAACTAAAAGCAGAGGACAAGGTCAACACTAGGACTTCTGAGAGTCTACATACACTGCATCTGGCACTGTCACTCTGTCACTTCAGCCAAGAGTTGGCACTAACTGACTAGACCATCATTCAGCTGTGAAAATGAGGTCACACTGAAACAACCACAACCCACTGCATGAGGAAACCGAGGAATCCCAGCAGAAGACCAACTGGTCTTTCAAAGGTCAGCCGAATTGCTGCTCCAGAGAATTAAGAGCTTATCACTTTTTTAAAAAAAATCATTTTATTAGGGGCTTATACAGCTCTTATCACAAGAGCTTATCACTTTTTATTGGTTTGCCTTTTAGGGTGTTTTTTCTACATATCCAACATTAATGCTACAACCAGATATGGAGATAAGCATTTCTTCTTCAAGATATCATTTCACCAAAGTCTTCTGAAAATGAAATAATGGTTTCACTTCACTAGTACAGACTGTCTACCGTGTGGTAGGTCATGCTCCTGTAAAATCTGGTTACGTCGATTGACCTGCTAACAGCAAGTGAGAAGATTAGATAAGACAAGAAGAGAGCAGTAAGTTTATGTTAGTGCAGGAGGAACATTGGGGAAAGGAAGGGAAGAATGGTCACCGAACGCGAAGCATGCAATGAGTGTTGGAAGAAAGACCTAAAATTCTTTTTTTTTTAAATCAGTCTTTGAAAACCTCT